GCGTCTCCTCTGTCTTTGGTACGGGCGCGCGGCCACATACCTCGTATAACAGTTTAACCAGCATTCGAATTCCTACGGAATTAGCGCGAGTTCGCCTGTGAAATTTCTCGTTCGCGTTATCCGCGAATGCAGTTCGCATCGGGCGAGAGTTGGGATATGTGTGTGTGTGTGTATATGTTGGGAGGGGGGAGGGAGAGGCGGAGGTGAATTGGGGTTTTGGAGCGAGACCGCTTACGTTCGCGACGAGGGTGGCGACGGGACACGGCGGAAGGGAAGAGGGGTAGTTGCGAAGAATGGCGTCGTGAATTACTTTTCCAAATGCTCCCGATCCGACTCGAGGCTCTCCTTTCTACCGCGCCCCTTCAGGGTAGAAGCATCCAGGGGTAGGTGGCTCTTCCAATTTCCAGGCGTGCCAACCAGATTGAATTTCTATCGTCGTCGTCGTCGTCGTCGTCGTCGTCGTCGTCGTCTTCGTCGTCGACGACGACGACGATGGTTGGCGGCCGATCATTTCGCGAGATATCGGGTAACTGGGTTATGTTTGCGAAAATGGCTTCGAGCCTCTCGATTTTTCTCGGTAATGCTATCTCTCCGTTCCCGACGACGTTTTCTTTCTCTCCTTAGTTTCCACGCGCCTACGTTTTTCTCCGTTTCTCTCTCTCTCTCTCTCTCTCTCTCTCTCTCTCTCTCTCTCTCTCGCTCGCTCTCTCTCTTTCTCGCGCGTGCACCCGCACTTCCTCTTTTTCTATCTCGCGTTCCCACCGCCTCCTCTCACTTTCTATATCTCCTCGCTACTGACTCTCCGTTCGGTCCACGCGAAACCATCGTTTGGTGAAACGAATCGAATGAATAGAACATCGAAGGCTCTCACGTTGATCGACTGAACGGTCAGGAATCACGTCTAGTTGACAAACGTCTATTACATCAGATAGAGGAAAGTGATTACGAAAAGACAGATACCGTTGCCTCGCTATCTATCACCGCGCCGTGCAATTTGAACGCCGCGAGAGGATCTCGAGTTGAAAGTCTCGACTTCTATATCAGTCAAAGATAGCCATGTTAAATGCAACTTCGACACTATCGGATAATAGACTCGTTCGCGTGCGAAGTTGCAACGGTATATTCGTACTGTCCTAATTTTGACGTATGAAATGCCGGCGAAAGAGCATCTTGTGCTTGAGAACAAATTCTTTAACATATGAGTAGAAGTATATTAAACTAGAGAGAGTTATTAAGGGCTCTTTGATATTAATGAAATTTTAATAGAGAGAGGACGGTAAGAGCCTATATTGCAGATGTTATCAGCGTGCAATTTAGGCTCTTGTCGTGCTCTTACCATCAAAACGTGAAGCTCCATATGAGGCTCCACTAAAAACGTGCAGCTGTCAGACAAAAAAGTAACTGGTAACTAACGAAACTCAAGTTGAAGCGATAAGAATAAAGCGTCGCGAATACCTCTAAGGGTAGCAATCGTGCGAAATAAATCGGTCGAAGTCACATTATTTATCGAATGTCGCCAGATATAGCTCTTGGCTGATTAATGCCAGCCAAATCTCGGCTCGCTTCATTCGCCTCGACACCTCTGCGAGCCAGGCGTGTCACTGGCTGCTGTTCCAGTTCCAACATACTGATATATCCAAACCATAGTCGTAGCTCGCAACTTCGTATCCGGCGTACGACATGTACCGCGAAATCCGTTGCAAATAGCTCCTGCGGGTGCAGTAGCGAAGTTTGAGAGGCACTTCCTTCATCCCCGCCCATCTCCTGCGCGTATCGGAAGACGAGATCAGAAGAAGAGGTATTACCAAAGCGAAAGAACGGCGGAAGGACTCTTTCTCTCTCGCGCGCGTCTCTCGTCTCCCGTCTCTCGTCGTCGACGATGACGACGAGGACGGGGACGACGTCGAGACGCCTCTCGTCCGGGAGCGTGCGAGCGACCGGTGTGAACTTCGCCGTCGGGGATTATGCAAACGGGAGTGGTTCCCGAGTACAGGGAGAGAGAGCGAGAGGGAAAGAGAAAGCTGCGTCCTCGGGGTGGATGATGACGGTGACGGTGCTAGTGGTGCTGATGGCGGCGGTGGCGGCGGGAGGGCGGGTTCTCTTGCTTGTCATTACCACGTTCGTGGCTTCCACCGCCCGGGGTGCCGGCCGCTCTCCGTTACGAGGGAGCTCGCGCGCAAGGTAGTAAAACTCGCCCCCTCGGCTCGCTTGCGCGCATGAGAGAGAGAGAGAGAGAGAGAGAGAGAGAGAGA